ATGTGGTGCTGTATGAACCTCTAAGCCAAGGAAATAAGTAAGATCAAGGTTTTTTATATGAAAAATCGAGTGAAGATACTTCTGAATAAGAATGTAATCAGATCCCGAGATAATAATATCATCCACATATACCAACAAACAAACAATGCCAACAATACTCTTTTAAATGAATAAAGATGTATTATACTGACTCTGAGTAAAGGAAAAATCTAAAAGAGTGCTACGAAACTTGTTAAACCATGCTCGAGAGGCCTGCGTAAGACCATACAAAGAGCTTCTTAGCTTACATACAGAGTTAGTTGAGAGAAGAGGCATACCAGATGGAAGTTTCATATAATTGTCTTCCTTGAGGTCTCCATGTAAGAACTCGTTCTCCACATTCATTTGATGTAAAGACCATGAATGAGAAGCGGCAAGCTATAAGAAGAGGTGAACAATCATCATTTTTGTCACAAGAGCAAATGTCTCAACATAATCTATTTCATTCTCTTAACGATTACCCAACCAACTGAGCTTTATAGCATTCAAGAGAATCGTCAGAACGAAGTTTGACGGAATATACCCATTTACTCCCAGTGGGTTTCACAGTATATGGACATGGCACAACATCCGAAGTTTGGTTGGCCTCAAGAGCCTCAAGTTCTACTTTCATCGCTTGCTACCTATACTCTTGTTCCATAGCCTGTATATAGGAGGAAAGAATGTAAATCGAATTAAAAGTAATAGACATGGAGCTATGGGAGGTAAAACCATACACATTTGGTGGTCGAAGAACACGAGAAGTGCGACGAAGAGGAACAGGAGGCGGCAGATCATCTGGTGCAGGATCTAATGTCGTAGATGGAAGGGGGACAGTCGTCTAAAAAAGAAGCTTTGGAGGTGTAGCATGCCTACAAGTGTAAACAAGACCCGACTTGTACCAAGCGGGTTCTGTAGAGAAATCAGACAAGATTGAAGGGAAAACCACAGTCTTTGAATTGAAGAAAGATTGTTTATTTGTTAAAAAAAATTACGAGAAATTTGAATTTGTTGTAATTTAAGATTGTAACAGACGTACCCTTTTTGAGTCCCACTATATCATAGAAAGGCACACTTGATAGAATGATGGGTGAATTTTGTCCTTTCACGTGATCGTAAATGAACAAAACACACACGGCCAAAGGGACGTGGAGATGAGAATATGTGGGATGATGACCAAAGAGTTTATAAAATGGAGAAGCATTATTAAGAGTATGAGAAGGTAGTCGATTTATGAGATGAACGGCGGTAGACAATGTTTCACACTAAAAACGAGAAGGAACGGAAGACTCGATACTCAATCAGAAGACTTTGAACCATATCAAGAAGGTGATGGTTCTTGCATGAACCATATCAAGAAGGTGATGGTTCTTGCATTCTATCACCCCGTTTTGTTGAGGGGTAGAATGGCAAGATCGCTGAGAAATAATACATTTGGTTTGTAAGAAAGATTGAAAAGTACTAGAATATAACCTCCAAGACCCAACTCCAAAGATGCTGGAGCTACTGAATCTAACCTCAGATGGCATCATGAGCAGACAAACTGGCACTGAAAAGAAGCAAGAGACGCCGACAGAAGGCTCCTACTTCGACAAACAGAGGCCGACCACAGTTGCCTACCACGATGAACAACCTCCAACCACAGAAGTCGTTTGGAAACACATGGGAAGACCGCAGGTTCGAAAATTTCTATGGCTTTGATACCATGACAATATTTTGGCTGAATGATTTCTTCTTTCCTTCTCTCTTTTATTTATATTTATATACGTTATATGAATATACAAGGAAACAAAATTACAATTGGGAGCTATAGAAGGAATGGTATAAATCATGCCTATACAAGGAAAGCTCTAAAATCAATAATCAATCACGCCTCTAATAGCATGGTCACGTCATTGATTTTTTTAAAATCATTACTTGCCGCAGAAACCTTTTTACGTACAAACTTCTTCGTTTGAAATATGGAAATGGAATTTTCGAATTCTGACAGGTGCACATTTCAAGAAATGGTGCATAATGCAATCCAAAATTAAATCTGGTGCTATCAACGAGGTGTGTGATTTACCATCTTCTTGCTTAATATTTTCTTTTTTACTACGATGCTTTGCCAAATTCAATATAACGATAAATGTCTAAATATGCTTGGTTAAACCTTGCAGTATATGAAAGAGGTGGATCAAATGTTAGAGGTGGCTAGTACATATATTAAGTCAAAGACCACTGACGATGAGATTGATCATACTGCCTCGTCTCCTGCTGTCTTTCAAGAAAATAGATAAACTGGTTGTATAATCTTCAAACAAGATCTGATAAAGTAAGGTATTGCTTTGAGTTGCTTATGGATTTCCATTCGTCTTAACAAACTTAAGTCCATTGTATTTTATACAGACGTGTGTATGTCTGTTCCTATCTCCTACGTAGCAAACAAGTGGTCGAATATATTTCAATTACTTTTTCTTGCTCAAGTAATATGGTTGTGGTTGACATTGCTTCTAAGCCAAAAGAAGTGCATCTTAGCAACTTGGAACAAAATGCTGATGGGCACTTCTCTTTTGTGCTTTCTCACCACTCTTAACCTCACCTTTAGCTACAATCCAATGCCCCTCATGAAGGGGTACGTTTCATTTGCAGTCTGAACTTTCAGCGAAGTCACAATTGGATCATTAAAATTTAGTTTGTGTCAATTTGGTTATTGAACTTTAGCTTAGTTTTAAATTTATCTTCCATAACTTTTTGAGTCTTCCAAATGGAAGAAAGTTACTTTATTTGCAGCTATACCACAATAGATCCTCCATGTAATCAGTGCATGGCTTGCAAATTTATCAAGATGTCTCGTCATAAATTTTTTTAAATTGAAAAAATACACATTTGAATACTTTAATATGAAAATATTGCTTCAATCTTCATTTTACTAGTTTTGTTCCTAGATTGTCACATAGTGAAATGTGGATACCAACTAAACAATTTTTGTTAGCTTGAGGAATGATAGGTGACGTAATGTTAGCATAGTGGTTAATGTTTGAACTTTCGTGACCAAATTGAGATAAATTATTGCTTCAAGTTCAATTGGTTAATGTTTGAACTTTCGTGACCAAATTGAGATAAATTAATGCTTCAAGTTCAATGACTGGAAGAAATTTATCGCTTATCAAGTACATATGAACATTAATGTTTTCTATTATTTCATGACGACAAATTCGGTAATATAGAGAACTTTCGTTTCTAGGATCTTGTTACCAGGACTCTCGAGTCTTTCATTTCAAAGTCCCAGCTACTATAATCTTTTTGAATGGAGACACTTCATTGTTAGAGCTAAACTTTTCGAATGAAATTTATTGCTTACCGAGTACATATGAACATTAATGTTTTCTATTAATTCATGACGACAAATTTGGTAATATAGAGAATTTTCGTTCCTAGGATCTTGTTACCAGGACTCTCGAGTCTTTCATTTCAAAGTTCCGACTACTATAATCTTTTCGAATGGAGATACTTCAATGTTAGAGCTAAACTTTTCGAATGTAATTTATCGCTTACCAAGTACATATGAACATTAATGTTTTCTATTAATTCATGACGACAAATTTGGTAATATAGAGAACTTTCATTTCTAGGATCCTGTTACCAGGACTCTTGAGTTTTTCATTTCAAAGTCCCAACTACTATAATCTTTTCGAATGGAGACACTTCAATGTTAGAGCTGAACTTTAGGCAGCATTCTAGTGTGCATGGGAATAGAGAACTTTTCATGAACTTCCCTCGGATGGTAAGAAAAGCTCTACCCTCATCGATTTACATAATGAACTTACCTCTCGTTACATGCATTAACATTTGGATAGGTTCTAATACCATTAGATTACGAACTATTTAGCCCTCAGCTGCAACTCGACCCTAAGTTTGCCTAAAATATTCATGTATGGGAGATTCTGAGCCGTAGACTTGCACCCAGTTAACTCTAGCTTTACGAGTTTGGGAAGAGGGCCAATACACACTCAACAATAAGTTATCACTGAAGCTTCATCTGAGTCGAGCCTTCTGGTCTTAATCGGCGCCCAAATATCTGCACCATTGCTGCTAGCAACCCCAACAGTAAATGAAATTGGCACGAGACATAACCCTTTGCTTCTCAAGCTATATGGCTCCATGTCCTTGAAACAGAGTACATCAACATTATAAATTTCACCTTGCAGTAAACATTCATAGCCCATTTGGTATGGACGGGATAGCAATTCATAGTATAAAGAAATAAAAATAAGCTAAATTCTTGCTCATCATACCATTGAGTTCTTATCGGTTGGCATACTATAGAGGTATGGAGCACTCAAAACCTAAGTACCAAAGAAATAAAAAGGGATAAGATATTGACCATCCTAAATGTTAATCATGTATATATTTGTATATAATTCTTGAAAAATACGAGATATTGTTATATTAATTATGAATTCTCGATTCGAACTTTTTGTGGTATTAGAGCACGTATAAGTTATGAAAAACAGAAAAATGTCAAACCTTAACTTGTTCGTGAAGGAATCCTATGTATTCCATTGCCTCCAGAAGGACTGATGCAGTATCAGTCTGTAGTGAATTTAAACAACTTCAGCTAACCAATTGATTTGTTGTTGTAAATTCTTCAAGGATTCATAGTATGTACCTTTCCAAAGGGTGAGACGAGCTGTTGAAGAGCTGAAATTCGTTCACTAACCTTCTCTTTCTTTTGCTGATGATAAAATAATGGAACATATCAATGACAAGAATAGTAAAGCATATACAATACTTCAAAGAACAACGTATAATCCTAAAATGAACTGATCCGAGTCGATATATAATGAATAAGATACCTTGGAAGACAGAGATAGGTCGGCTTTGTGTCGTTTTGAGGTAAAATCTGTCAGGCTACACTGCTCAAGAGAGACAGAGCTTCTTCTGTGTTCCATCATTTTTTTCTTATATAGCTTCCTTTCGAGGATTTTCTTCAACAAGGTTCAAATCCTTCTCTTTCTGTACCTTAAGAATCATTATACATATATTATAATTACATATTACTATTCAAATCATAGATGCGAACAATACAGTCTTAACCATACTTACGATTCTCTCGGCCACATCAACGTTACAAGTTTTTATCCTAGGCATGAGATCAATTCTATTATTCGTATTTAATATTCAGATTTTACATTTTTAGATATATCATCATTTATGATGGTCACAACCATCATTAATCGAATCTATGCTAGATTTTGATTATTTTCTTGTCGGCTCAATAAATTCCACACTCATACTCGTGAAGCCGCTTTTATTTCTTTCGAACCTAAGTATAACTTCCGTGAATGGGTAAACGATGAGGGTGCTAAAGATGTGCGGACTTAGTTGGGATGTCGGAATTCACCTGGTGATTAACAATTTTTATCATAGAATTATGACTAACATAATCTTGAAAACCCACATCAAAAATCCAAAGAAATTGCAATAAAATCTCAACTTTACATCAAAATTTTCAAAAATCCACCTCATGATTTCAAAGAAAGAACAAAAATCTATGTATGAACATTAAAAAAAAAAACTTAGTTTTTTGCTGTCTGTCTTTGTCTGTATATATGAATACTAAAAGGCAAAAGTTTTAATAATTAAAACAAATTTGAATCGCAAAACCCACCTGAAAATTAAGAGAATAGCTGCTGAATAAGGTGGTGTTGCTGTATAGAGAGTTCGAATGGAAGAACTCAGTCTGTGTGAATGAAGGGAGAGTGAGGGGATTTTCGAAATTCATATATATACAAATTTGTATACTGTTGAAGGTTTGATTTACAAAAATAGAATACTAAAACAAAATAGCAAAAATGAAAAAGAAAGATTAGTCAATATTTGACAGCTAATATACAACCATGCAAATGCATAGAAACTGTAGAGCATAGCTGAGCTCACTTTTATTATTCTTGACTCAGCTTGAAAATGACTACTAATGTTAAGATTTATGTTTTTTATTTTTGTTTTTTGAGAGCGAGTGGATAGTACTTAACTCTTGTTTGAACCCTATTTTTGAGAAAAATAAAAATAAAAATTTCAACTTCATTCGTAATCATACATTTTCTAATTAAATAATTTTACATGTAAGGTTCGTTTTATATGCAAAGGTGAAAAAAAAATTCGATTCCATGTTAGTTGAAAAATAAAAACCTACGAAACACATAAGAATTCGTTTTCCATGAAAACAAAGAAAATGCAGCTTAAAGCGTTTATACCTTAAAATTCATTTTTCATTTCCAAGTTGCAATCAAATGTTAATAGTGGAATTCGTTTTCCTCGAATGTGACATTTTAATGGAAAAGTTTACGATCAAACAGGGCCGTAAATTCAATTTTTTCTTACTTTTTAACCATACATCCTTCAAAAATCACTATTTTATAAAATCTATATTCCCCAACAAATGGACTCAAACAAGAGCTTAATTTCTTTGTTGAATATGCACGACGCGTAATTAGAAAAACAATGCATAAATATGTTACGTGTTTCTATTTTCAACTGTATGTTTAATTCTTTTCACGACTTACAAAAATTAGTAGAATCCAATCGATCTCGAGATCAACCAACTTATATCGCTATGCTCATGAGCTAAAAAGCTTAATTTTGTACACCTCCATTACTCTTTAGGAGGTACCCATGTCTCACAGTGTCCTGACTCCCGCTAAATGATCGATCCATCGGTTAAACAGCTTTGGACGAAAGAGTTTTATTTCATAATGAAGCTCGTGCTTGAGCCATATTATTTTTGTATTCACGTTCTTCTACTCATTTTCAATTATATATTTTTCAATAAAATAATATTTTACATTACATCAACAAATTTTTTTTTTTCAATCACATGTTCTCCATCACATTAATTAAAAAAATACATTCTCGAGGAAAAAATTGTGCACCATACAGTGTTGAAAATGCAGTTTATTGGCGCCAAATCATAGTCAGAGTACTAATCAGGGACAGAGATCAGGTAGGCATTTTCTGGCAGGTGGGACCTGTCAATTTCATTTGTTTCTATGACACGTGTAGGCTTGACAGGATGTGGGCCTCCAGTTTGTGCACAAGTCCATAACAAAACAAGTACTTATAGTAATGGGCCCACACGCTTTGGTCCACGCGTTTTTCCCAGGCCCGCTTCAATAAATTTAAAAATTTATTTTATTTTTGTATTCGAAAGTTGGGCTAAATTTTATCCATGGTCACTGAACTTTAAGCATAATTTCAAAGTCGTGCTAGTTAATTCTAAAAAAAAATTGCTCTTATGACGTAGCACAATAGTAAATTAACATGTTATGCATGATTTTGATAAAAAAAAAAAATTGATTGTGGTATGACTATCAATTAAGCAACTTTCATTGATTCAGGAGATCGCTAGTGACAAAGTGATGAATTTTGAAACTAAATTTGAAGTACAATGATCTAGTTGAAATTCAGTGACCCAATCGAGACAAAGTTAGAGATCTTTGTTGAGATTTGGCTAAGTGTTTAGTGGCTACGAAATTTATCCTAAACCCAAAATTTATATTGTTATGTGAAAAAATAGCGAGAATTGTGTATTCAATTGAGACTTTCAGAGATTTTTTGAAATTTAAAAAGGAATATTCAATGTAGATTTTTTGAGACTCTTTAAAAGTATCGGTATATTCAATTAAGATTATTATAGATATTTAAAAGTCACGATATATTTAATTAAAACTGTTTGGAAATCTCTATAAAAAATTATAATTAAAGAATCTTCTCTCTCTCTCTCTCTCTCTCTCTCTCTTATTTTCATTTATTAAAGGTGTGACATATTGATAATGCTGATATTAAAAAAAAATATTTATAGTGAAAAAAGTGAAAACTATTACGGATGGCAAAAAAAAAAAAAATCAATAAATCTAATAAACGGGACCTACCTTAAATTGGGAGGCAATTCCCAACCTAACACGAGGGCGAAGCGGGATCGTTGCCCCGAGAGGGGCGGGGCGAGGAACATAGTCATTGTAATGTTACTCATTCTGTTTAAAGTTCATTTCAAGATTTAATTTTTTTATTAAAAAAGGAAAAAAAAAAAAAACCATCATTGCTAAAGAAGACTTGGATTGTTCTATAAATTCGAAAAAAATGATTTTCAACAACTAAAACCATAAAAAAAAAAAGTACGATAAACAGCACAAATGACGTGAAGGGCCGATTCGGGCTCCATTGACAACCCTAAAAACTATCATGTCAATGTTTGGTAGAAATTAAAAATTAATAATTAATTTTATCACATATCTTGTGGGATTTACAACTTTTTAACCACACAATTTATTAACTTTTGTCAAAATTTACTGAAAATTTGATTTTAAATTCCACGAAACAGGGGCTATTTATTTTTTGAATTTTATATTACGGTTATAAAATATCGCACCGCCCATAGATATTAATGTCTAATTCTAATAATTGCAGTTTATCGTAACTAAGATAATTTAATTAACATAATCAAGATTTTCCACAGGTAATGAGGGACCAGAGCATTGACTAATGCTACACATCATATGGAGGATTGAAATGCGAGAGCAATTAATCTTATCCCTTGCTTCTCCGATATTTTTAAAATATATTTTTTCTCTTATTTTTAATTACACCTTCTTTAATAAAATAGTATTACATGTAAACTTAAATTTTTTTATGAGTCTGTTTGTTTTCAATTTTTATAGTAAGAATGCATGTTGAAATAGTAGGATGATGGAAAATGTGTGGTTAAAAAATAAGGAAAAATTTTGAATTTTCGTATAATATTATTTTATTAAAAGATGTGTAGTTGAAAAGAAGAGAGAAAAATGTATTATAAGAAAAAGGGGTATCAAACAAAGGATATATTTTTTAGGAAAATTTGCAGCTGAGGTACCAAATATTTCAGTTATTTATATCACCCACGGTACCAAACCTTTAAAAGAGTCACACCTCCAGTCCTCATTGATGGTTTCCATCCATTTGATCATGAAAATCGTTAGTCGGCCCCAAAAATAAAAAATTAGGAGGGGTAAAATGATAACTTGACAATTTTCTCATTAAATAAATTACAAAAAAAATAAAAAAAACAAAAACTTGCAATTAGTTTCTCCTTCTCGGCATCAACAGTGCGGCACGTTGCCGGCACCACCACCGACACACTGCCGACACCGCCACCACCGCCTCCTCCCACCACCACCGACGTCGCCACCGTATATCACAATGAAGAAAATCATGTTCGACACCCAAAAATGGAATCTAAATCACGACCACCACCAACACGTAGCCGTGGCCGCCACCCATCACCTACCAAATCCCCATCATCCTATCCCAAACCAGAAAACCATCTAGCACCACCACCACCGATCTCCTCACCACCACCATCACCAATGTCGGTAACTACCCATTTTCAAATTTCAAACTCAATTAAAAAAATTCGAAAAAAAATCAGAAGATAATGGAAAATTGAATCCCATTGGAGTCAGGCAAACCTCGAGCAAACTTGTACGACCATGGTTAACCATTTAGTTGCTCCAATTGAGGTTATGGCTGATTTAATTGCTCCAATAGTCCAATTGAGGTTAGGGCAGTTCGACAGGTCTTGATGGCTACAATTGAGGTTGGGGCAGTTCGACGGGTCTTTGTGGCTGCAATTTATAATGCTTGGGTTCTGAGGAATTCTGCCAATAATGGGGGCGGTGGTGGCCGGACTTTGAGGCGGCGATGCTGAGAATGGAGGTGGTGGCTTGCGGTGGGTGAGAATGGGGATGAGTGGAGTGGAGTGGAATGGGAGAAAGAATAGCTTTTGTATATTTATTTTTTTTAGTTTTTTTATTTATTTAATGAGAAAATTGTCAAGTTACCATTTTATCGCTCCTAATTTTTTATTTATGGGGTCAACTAAAGATTTTCGTGGTCAAACGGACGGAAACTATCAATGAGGACTAGATGTGTGATTTTTTAAAGGTTTGGTACCGTGGGCGGTACAAATTAAAGGTTTGTGCAAAGTTTGCAAATAATTGAAAGGTTTGGTACCTTGGCTGCAATTTTTTCTATTTTTTAACTACACATTTTACAAAAAATCATTATTTAAAAACACATTTTTCCCCAAAATTTCTTTATAGCGAAGCCCGAACAGACAGTTAATTATCCGATTTTCATTTGTGACTGTGACTATGATTGAGATTAAATTTGCAAAACTAAATTTAGGTATGTTTTCAACTTCTAAAATAAAAGCAACACAAATCTCTATTATATGATGGGTTCGAATAATTATTCATTCAACACCCGTGATTACAAATTATCGGAGAAGGGTCGACCCTAAAATTTTGGTTGTCTTGTGCAACATTTTAAAATGGTGTCCATTTCATGAAATTTAAAAATATATATTTCAATAATATTATATCATAGTAAAATTATGATATTTAAATACTAATTATTTTTTTAAATGTCACGAATAAGAAAAGTACGAGTAAAGTTCAAAATTTCCAAAAGAACCAAATGGTCCTCACTAAGTGAAAGGTTAGGAATGTTTGCGCCAAAATTTAAAGGTTATGGACCATTTGCACAGAATCCCATAGATTCCCAAAATTTTAAGCACTTCATCCGAATTTTTTTAACTTTATATGATTAAAACAACCCAAAATACAAGGTCCAAGTCAAGCTAGTCTGTCTATTATATCCCTCTTGTTGAGAGGTAAAGTCGCCATTTTTTCTCTCTTCTTAGCATTTTCATTAGGTTGAAAGGGATCGATCCCACGCTCGGCTCAATGTGATCAAACAATTGCTCTAGCTTTCCTCGAGAAGGGAATAATGAGATTCTTGCAAATGGAAATTTTTCTAATTGTTGTTGAATTTATGGGCAGACGAGATAATATGTCAAATTGAAATATCTTAGTAGTTAGAGGAAAAGAAAACAAAAATAGTTTACGTAAAATCCGCAAAAGAAATGGGAGTGACCTAAAATGTAAAATATGGAACTGTCGGTGAGAAATACAAGCATTATGCTGTTACACTGTTAGGTTTTTAGTGTGTTGACAAATTTTTAGAAAAAATGACTGTTATAAAATAGTTGTAAAACTCAATGAGTTATTTGGTTGGTAGTATAGTCCTTGAAGGAGTCCAAAATGCCAAGAAGATCACATATGATTAAAAAAATGCAATTAGAAGTCTAAAGCGTGTCAAATAGCCGCACATGTTATGCTCCAAATTCTTAACTGGAACTTTCAATGCATTTTTCACATAGAAAATATTAGAATATGGACAACGCTATTTCTAGAAGAATTGTAGTAATTTGAGTTAACATTCCAACGCATTTTGAAAGTTATGATAAAAATATTGACGACTGCTTAACTATCGCTCGCCTATCGCTCGAGCGGCAGTGTTTCTTGAGGAAACCTTAGTTCGCTTTTTAAAGAGTTTTAATGGGTTTAGACTACCTAAGTACCTTTTAGTATAAATACTCAAGCCCTTGCAAGTTTTTTTGTGTGGTTGTTTATTATTCTTTTGCCTCATATCATTCTTTAGAGATATAAGAAAACATTAATCATTTGTGATTTATCATTTTCATTCTTGAGATCATTCAACCACACTTTGAAAAAACATCAAATTGAAGAATCCAAAACACCAACTTCCTGATTTCATATTCAAGAAGGTACTTTCTCAATAACTTTCAAAGTTACTGAAAATTAAGGGAGGTTGGATAGCAAACACAGGAAAAGTACAAGAATAAGGCGTTCTGATGGTCCACATGAAATAGACAATTTCAGGAGATCGGGAGTAGGTGTAAGTGCGCACGTTTTAGCGGATTTTGGAGATTGCAGGAATTAGATCAGTGAGTCTAGTGGATTTTCTAGAGTGGATCATACTGTAAGTTCACATTTTCTATAGTGGAAACCACTAGCTTGGTCCTAGAATTTTTACCCAATTAAGAATTTTCTCCGTCATCATATTTACGTTATTTACTCCTTTCTGTATAATTGAGGCATTTAAACCACAGGAAAATTGAATTGATTGACTAATCATCTAGAAATAATTAAAAGAATTTGTGTTATTACCCAGAGTTTTTACTCAATTAAAAAATTTCTCTGTCATCATATTTATGTTTTTTTACTGCTTTCTATAGAACTGCGGCATTTAAACCACATGAAAATTGAATTGATTGATTAACCATTGCTTATTAATTGTTAATTTTAATTCTGCATTAGGGTTGAATTAGTAACTAACTTACACAATGCAACACAAATGTTGCAGCTAAACGGGCTAAAAGCCAATAAATCAAGTGAAAATTATACTCAACACCCTTATTTCTTTTGGAATTTCAAAATTTCAATACTTTTTTAAGCCTTTATTCTCTGCATATACAAAATATACAGTCTAACGCACATTTATTCAAGAACAAATACACCAACAATAGCGACCCATTATCGGACCACCACTGCCACTCACTACCAAGCACCAACACAACAAATCATACACGGTGGAATAAAATATCACCATTCACCAACACCATATGCAACCACCACCACCACCCACCACCACGATCACACAAACACACACAAGAATTGCACACAAAAACATGTAGCAACCATTTTCGGTTGAACACACCACCTTTGCTGCACCCACCCACCACCACCACCACCACCACCATTGAGACCTCCTCCTCCTCCTCCTTCAAACCAATTGTAGATCCAATACTAGCATCACCTCCTCGTCCTCCTTCAACACAATTGCATATATGAGTTCAAATTTGAAATTAGATTTGAGAAAATATGACAAAATGTGTTTATCACACCGTGTTACAAATGATGGTAACTACAGGGATGATTGTGAAAACATGTGGCGAAGTATGTAATATTTATAGGATTAATCTACTTGTACATAAGTGTGTACATAAGCGTGTACATAATGTGAGTGTGGTGGAGCCCACAACACTGTAGTATAGGCCCCCACCCCCACTCACATTATGTACGCGCTTATGTACACACCCATGTACTAGTAGCATTGCTCATATTTATATTGTACATTGTAACGCTGTTAAAGAAAATTGTTAGTACTAGAAAAAATTAAAAAAAAAAGTATTTTGCAAATTAAAAAAAAGTGTAAAAATATATTTTGAATTAGTAAATTTTTTTTAATGTATCTGTGACTTGTTCACATATAGCTAGATATAAGCTCAAAAAAAAGTGTTAATATCTTGCCCATCTTAAAAACTCGTAATATGACTTATGGATCTCAAATACTCCTAAAGCAATCAGTTAACTATCAAGAAAAGTGAACTTTTACATAGAAATTAAGGTGTAGTACCATAATCACTTGTTTCGTACGATGAGACGAGAAAGTCGACTAAAAGTACGGCACAATTACCATTTCAATTCCTATACTGAACCACTGAAATTCTTACTATTGCTAATGTTTAAGTGATCACTTAGTGAAAAGCTTCATTTTACCTCACCTTTCTTGCTTTCCTTTTCTATTTATTAGTTCCATCTAAATTTCTCAACAAACTCTCATTTTCTTCAAAATAACATTTCTCTCGAGGCTTCCGAGTCGAATGAATCTACCATACACTATGAATTGGGGACCTTGGGAAGATGCTAAGCTCATAGAACATGTCATGAAATCACTATTGAAGATTAGATATGAAAAACTTTAAATTGTTTATCGTTATAAAAATGTCTGTATGAAAGAAACGGCTTAAGTTCGATCATTTTACTCTTAGAAATGGTGCAACATGTGATTTTGCTATTACCCGAAGTATGATTTACTTAAAATAACTTATGACATATGTTTGGCCAGTAAGAGTTATGCTTACCTGGTAAAGTAAAACTGCCAAAGTATTAACATTCATGTAGCACACACTTAGAGCTTGTTTGGGAGAGGTTTTTGGGGGAAGAATTGATTTTGAATAATGATATGATGAGAAATGTGTGGTTGAAAAAGAAAAAAATATTATTGATGTGATGGAAAATATTATTTGTGTGGATGAAAATGAGAATTGATTTACTGTAGAAAAATCTAATCCCTCCCAAACAGGACCATAGTAAGATTTTCGATAATTTTCTATGCTTACAAAATATTATATAAATTATATAAACACAAATAAAATAAGCATTTGTCATCCGTGTTGTATTAACATTATTAATATCATATTTGCCCATCTAACTCATATTCCATACTCAACTCTGATATATTCATTTCGACACTTCTATATCAAATTATCTTTACTTTATAATTTTCGACCATAACAATAATCGGTAAATAAGAGAAATGGTCAACATCATTTGTAGAAAAAAATAAAATTCAAAAAAGCTTCTTGTATTGTCAACATATATAGCTTTCACAAAGAAAAAACCTACCTAAATGTTTTTTTTTTCCAACTTTTTTGAGTAGATGATAGGACTTTCTTACCTATATCAGCTATAATTGTTTCTCTGTCTCTTTCATGCTACGTCGAAAATCTTATAAATCAAAAGAAAAGTCGTGCAAAATCACGTAAAAGAATTCGAGTAATTGAAAATAGAGACACTGGTCTATAGAAAAAGATGGTTTTGTCCGCACAATGAAAAACGCAATCATATATTCAAGATAAGATTCGAAATATTAAAATCGATGTGACAATATTGTCATCAATTTCGTATACAACACAAATTTATTTTATAATAATTTAAAGTGCAGTAAATAAAGTTGATCAACTTGTCAAGCATGTCGATTTCATTGTCGTCTACTAAATTTTAGTTGAATAGCCAAATACCTTGCGACATATGGAAAATGACACCCTTTAAATGGAAAATTAGGTGGGTTTCACGTGATTAAAGCAATCAATCATGGGGAGAATTATACCAGTAATTTAAATTTAAACTAAAGAAAATTGTGAACTAGGAAAAAAATGTTTCTTATTTGTTTTTTTATAAGTGTTTAGGTGAAATGTTTAGTATAAATATTGCATGTTTCATAAGAAGTATAAAAAGTCAAAAACACCTGTTTGGTCCCCATTGTTTGAAATTTTAATGGTTGAAATTATGTATTTTTGAAAAATGTGTATTTGATAAGAAGAGTGAGAAAAATGAATTATATATAATCAAGCAAGGAACAGCATAGGAAACACAACAGTAACACAGTTTTTATCTTGATGGAGAAATTTGGCTTTTAAACCGAAACAACTTTCGAGGGCCAAAAAACCAACACATAACATGAACGACTATCCCAGTTTTTGAAACGAGCATATAATGTATTCAACTTAACACAAGATCAAAGCTAATAATCATCCTCTAAAAACTGATTTTGAAGCAAAACTTGAATTCTTCGTCATACTATTCTAGACGGTCACATCTGCAGGTCGGTTGTCCAAGTACCTTGAACACTAGGATGTTTTGTAACGTGTCTTGTCTTCAGCTTCACCACCTTTCGTCCCAGTGCATTCCTTAGCCTGGTTGCGCACTGGTGTACTTCCTCAGGAGTCATATTCTTAACGCATACAACTCGCTCGTTCTTGTTCTCTGTACGTTAAATCAATCAGAAAATAGATTAGAACTAAAAATGCTTTTGATGAAACCATAAAAATCTTTCTCCAATCTCCATCTTAGTTTAGTTCATCATTTCATTGGGTGTTTGGTATGTATTAAAATTAGATTTTTAGTAGATTGTCATAGAAATTTTTGAAATGTGTGGTTGAAAAGCTGTGGGACCCATGAAAGATGTGGTTGATATTGATTGTTTGACTTTGACTTGGATTAAAATCTGATTTTCATTCGTACCAAACAGGCCTAGATTTTTCTTCCCTTCTACCCATCTTCTTCTTCTTCTTCTTCTTCTTCTCTATTTCTGCTATGAAATGAGCACACTAGTAGTAGCTTTATCCATCTTCAACCTCCTTCCGGTGTTAACATTTCTGGATGCTATATCTCCTGCTCCAACGGTTAATTATTTGCAGGTGTTCAACTAGTTTGAGGTGTTATGTGTTCATCAACTAATTTGAGCTTCAATATGTGAATTGTTGAACCTGATTTAGTTGTAATTCATCGCTCTAGATTCTCATCCCATCACATATTCTTGAATGATGATATCAATTTGACTTAGAGCCCCCACCAATTACTTTATGTTGGGTAGTAGCTCAACTGAATCTACTAGACGAGTTAGTGAAGAGAGAATAAGTCAATGCCTAGAGATGAGGAGTGAATGTGGATCACAATCGTATAAGGTCGTAAGAAGCAAATACAGAACATCACTCTTTGGAGTAAGGTCAAAAGAAGTAAATATGGACTCAATTTAAATGGATGGGACTCAAACTTTGCATCAAGTCTCATCTCGCAAAAACATACTTCATTTCTTTTTTTCACTGAACGGGCGTTTGGCATGGGGTGATAAGATTTGTGTTTGGGAGACTGTATGGAAGGATTCTACTCCTTTGGCTTCTTCTTGTCCTAGACACCATAGACTAACTGTTCCACTCAATGAATTTGTTTGATCCCATTCAATAACTCTCTCAATTGAAAATTTAATTTTTTACGCAACTTGTATCATAGAGAGCTCTAGATCTGATGCATTGTTGAGGAACATTGACAATTTTATCTGATCCATCTTCAAAGGGTAAGAGTAACGGTCCCTTGATTCTTTGGGCATTTATTTAGGAGACTTGTTTTTATGCGTTGATTGACCTTGAAAAGGTCTCATTGTCATTAGCCATACTCATTTATTTGGAGTTCAACTGTCCCACCAAGAGTTATTTTTTTTGGCTAGTTTTCCAGAGGAGTATTAATATTTTTGATTCAGTGTTCACTTCAAGGTGTGTGATTTGTAAAGAAAATATTGACATAAATGTGAGAAATCCAGGAAATTGTGGGTCCCCACCGCTGGAAAACCAGTTTGGCTTTGATTTGGAAAAAAGACTTTATGTTATGTGGAGCATATGGTGTAAGTGCTACTGATGTTTTAGGAATAATAAAATATTTGAAGGAATATATAGCCTATTTCTCCCTATGGGATACCGCTGGATTTTAGCTTCAATTTGGGCATATATAAATAAGGAATTTAAGGACTTCCTGTTGTCACTGTTAGTTGGAAGGGTCTTTTGATGTAGTTTGTATGTTTTCGACGTCAAGAGGATGTTATATCCGCTGACTCTGATTTGCTAGTAATGAACCTGAGTTTTTTTAAAATAAATTATTGTTTCCAATAAAAAAAAAAAAAGGTTCCATAAGGGCAGTCCTGGCATTTTCTAAGCAAAAGAAAAAGAAGTGACAGGGTGCAACAATGTACTAATTCGGAGCATGGATAACAGTGCCTTAAGGAACTCTCTCTCTGATCGTCGCTTTCAATCTCTACATGAAATCTTGAATTAATCATCCATGTTGGCTCACTATATCTGCTTAACACATATCTACAGAGTACTCAGCAGGAGAAAAATAAGTGAATTTACTCACATCCAAAATATTTACTTTTTAAGGATAAGAAAAAACTCAGTTACTCGTGTGATTAGAAGCGTACAAAACATCCTGAAATGAATCTACCCCAAATGTACAATCCCCACCGCGGGGAAACAAGGGTCTGAAATAAGAATTTGCTCACTAACAGCAGAACAATGCATTTTTCACTTATGCTAGTGCAGTCAAAGAACATAGTATCTGGATGATCCATGTTTCATTCAAACAAACAGGCCTGCATGTCTAAATAAAATGATGATTATTAGGACTGAAACATACAACTGTGTTAGATGAAGAGGTGTGAATCAGATTCGGTTGATCCCAGACCATACACAAATATCCAAACACAGTAGACAACCCAAAGGGAAGTGCGAAATAAAAATGCACACACAAAAAATCAAGTATGGATAGATAGACGAAGAGAAAGAGAGAATGCTTACTGTATAAACCCTTCAGAAATGGATGATGACCACGATTGAGTTCGTTGATCACCTCGAGCTGAGGATTTTTCTCTTTAAATGCTGGCAATTGAGATTCCATAAATTCCCTAAACAAAATAGATGAAATCACTAATCCTGTTTGAAACAAGTTGCTAGTCTGTTTAAATGTAGATCATTAAAAAGCAACATTGATCCTTTTCCTCCGTTAGATTACTGTTACCTATTCTAATTTAACTTCTATCTGGAAGATAATATGTTGATTGTTATTTTTTATCCTGAGAGGAATCCACAATAACGATGTGTATACCATTTGAAAACAAAATTCTTCCACTCTCCATTGATTGTGTATATTTCAAAAAAAAAATCAATTTTTCAAAACTTTATAACACTTCTCCATTACTTCTAGGACCCTTCATTAAATTTTATTTACTACAACTAAACGATATATATTGATGCTATATCCCAAACAATGAAGATAAACATCATTAATTTACAAAATATATGGCGTTTCAAAATGATTTTTTTTTTTTATGAAAGAGGCACAGAATATGACAGGAATGGTTTCTTATAGATATATGTTATAGGAATAAGCCTTAGTTCTTGTTGTTTTAATATTGCAAACTCAATTTCAAACACATAATATAAGTGATCACGATAAGTAATGTGGATGCACATATAAATTTTATTATTGAGAACCTAATGCATCTACTCTGCATGATGTGCAGCTCTGTACTTGTGCATGTCGTCATACATAGTACATACAAGTGTTTGCATATATTTCTTGGAGTCAGATATGGTGTTGGAAGAGGATGTTTCCAAATGTCATATTCACGATTCACCTGACCTGTGAGTTAGAAATATCTTTACTTTTTTTGCAAAAGATATGCAGAAAATATAAATCGTTGAAAATGGCAGTTAAATTTATCATAAATAGTTGTCTGAGAAATCAAACATCTTGACGTACTATCTACATCTATGATCAATGCCGAATGCTCATCATATTAATATCATAACTTTGTCCAAATGTCATGTGTTTACGTCGGGTTTCATTTATTTAGAGGAGTGAACATAGTGTGATTGTGCATGTAACACCAAATCATGTCCTACTTTTCCAATGTTATGCCTTCCACTGCGGTACCCTAACTATGTGTAGCTATAGCAGTTAACATAGATTATGTAGAAACTTGAACTCCAAACAGCTAAAAATTGTGTACGTGTATCCTACTAACCTAAGAACCACTGTCAAGACCTATAAAGGTGAAAACAAGATGAATTGTTTTATACAGGGATCACATAAGTAACAAAACCAGAGAGATCTATGTTAAATAATTAAGTTCCAAAAAGAGAATAATTCAAATTTTGGCCGTGCTTGGAGCAATTTTAAGCTACTATATGTGTCCTTGACCGTGCTGATACAGGGAGGAAATAAGAAAGAGCAAGAGTAAAAACAAAATAATTAATCCAATTAATTCAATATCCCTTCATTTCCATATCTAATTTTTCTCGTCAAGAATAGACATGAAACCCATAAAATCTATAAAATTATACAATATTTCAACTGAAGAATTCGCAATTACCTGATACCCCTGCTACTGCCTCCCCAATTACAGTAACTCACAATCAGCTTTTGTAATTGCCAAACGCCTCTCAAAGCCATCGTTTTTCTTCTAATAATTTAAGCTATTTCAACAATGGAGAGAAATTGTTATTATTAGGGAATTTGATTATTTTGAGCAGTAACGAAGTGGCCGAGAGCTTTATAGCTTATAGCTAAGGGTTTTTGAAGGGTGACGACTATTCGCGACTGTGTAAAGTGTAAACAAGGTTTGAGCCGACCGGTTCGAATGAACCGATAGAAGATTGGGCAAAATTAATTGGGATTTTCATTATGAAAAGTTAATTTTTTTTTTTGGAAATCATTTTTATCTTATTCTCCTTTCGGTAAAATTTATAACTTTATTTCCATCCACACATTTCAATGAATTCACAAATATTGTTCTCATATTCACTACTTATTTTTATTTATTTATAAATTAAATTATTTATAACTTATTCTCAATTGACGGCTAAATTAAATAATAAGATTTTTTTTTTCAAGAAATGAAGAGTTTTAGGTAGGGAGTTGGAAAAACGACTGCAAATTTTCTCATTTAGTAGTGGTGGATTGGTTAGGCATTCAATTGCCAATTTAATGGAAAAGAAAGATACTATATATATGAGATGTATATGGAGCAATTCACGAGTATCTTAGCCTATGTTTGGCTTGTGTTTATTAATATTTATGAATTCTCGATGTACTTTTCATTCACATATTTCGAATGATTCATAAGCACTATTATATCCATCAAATATGAGTTAAGTTAAAAGAAAAATAAAATCTAAATAGTTAAATTAAAATAAAGTTAAATAAACAAAGAATGATTTTAATGAGGGTCGAGTGATAAGCAATATCTTTTTACCCATAAATTTTAGTGCATTTAAAAAAGATTATCTAATGGTGCGTTTGATTGTGAGTGAGGAATTTGTATAAAAGGAAAAAAATTCTAGGCAATTCAATTGTCTATAACTTATTTGTATGAAAATTATTAATTAAATATGTTTGATTGGTTTAACTTTCAATTTAGAAAATATTATAGTTAATTTTTTAATTGGTAAGTAGATGATAGAGAGAAATAGAGACTGAATTACATGAAAAATAAAAACCATTAATTCCTAAAGAATTTTTTTTTTTTTTTAAGAAAATATGGCCACGTGACCAAAAGTTGGAAAATATTTTTCATGGAAAAAATTGTTAATCAAACACCAAAAAAGTAGGAATTTCGATGAAAAATGACATTTTTATAAAAAATAAAGCTAATCAAACACGCTTTAAGGATCAATTTGATTGCGAACATGAATTTTGCACGTAAATAAAATAAATTTAGACAATTCAATCTGTAATTTATTTGTATGAAAATTATTAATTAATTATTTTTTTATTGATTTAATTGTTAACCTATAAAATTTTATACTTGGTTTATTTTTTATTTGAGGGTAGATAAGAGAGATGCAATACCTGAGAGAAAATGAGATAATGAATTACCTGAAAAATAAAGACTACATCTCTTTAAAAAAATATTTTTCTTATTTTTGAGAAAAATACGATCACATGAACAAAAGTTGAAAAATATTTTACATGGAAAAACTTGTTAATCAAATACCTCAAAACTAGAATTTTTGGTGAAAAAATGACATTTTCCATGAAAAATAAAGCTAATCAAACACATTCCCAATATAAAAATGTTATTTATTATAGAGAGTCAATGCATTAAAATACGTTGCTTTGTTTAAATTTTTAGAGCTTGTTTGTTTTTCATTTTACAGTAAAAATGCATTTTGAAATAGTAAATTAATGAAGAATGCGTTGTTAAAAGATAAGAAAAAAATTAGATTTGCGTGTAATATTATTTTATTAAAGAATGTGTAATTAAAAAAAAATGTATTTTGAGAAAATTGAGTATCAAACAAGGACTTAAAAATAATTTGGAGGATAACCAAAACTTTCATTCTATTCATTATTTTATAACGAATGCATATAACTACTCTTTAACATCCATTTTCTATATATATTTTTTTCAATCACATTTTATGAGATCCGTAATTTTTATTAATTTTTCAACTATATATTTCATCAATTGTTCTCAAAATCTATTAAGGTCCCGTTTGATGGCCATTATTTTGAAAGAATGATATTTAGAACATTGATTTTTTTGGAAAATATATGGTTAAAAGTGGAAAAGAATTAATTTTACGTGCAAAATATTTTATTATGTAAACGTGTTGTTGTAGATGAGTATGTTAATTAAGATTTTTGTTTTAAAAGGAATCAAACAGGAGTTTAAAAATTTAGTTTTAGCTAAACCAAATATGTGCTTAATATTTACAAATTTAAATACTCTATAAACAATTTTTTAAATAAAAATGTGAGAAAAAAATCAATAAATGTTTATTAAAAAAAGAAAACAAAATGAAGCGTAAAAATAGAGTGTATAAAACTTCTTATTCTCTAACATCTACGTTCTTGTTTGGTAGAAATCAAAATTAAAAATTAGTTTTATCCAAATGTTTTATAGGATCTATATTTTTTTAGAGTAATGATATTCATCCCCAGTGGGGATGGAAATACAGTCTATGTGTCTTTAAATGATATGTTAAATCTATCATTTAATGTCACATTGATATCACGTAGACTGTGTTTTCATCCCCAGTGGGGATGAATAGCATTACTCATTTTTTAACCATATATTTCATCAACTTTCGATTTTAATATAACTAAAGAGTCAATTAGAAATAATCAATTTTTCCATTATCTTTGGGTACTCCGACCGGAACCTAATGTCAACAACGATTCATCCACTCAACCCGGTGTAGACAACACACACTTGCACCAAACCGGAGTGGCAGTAGAAACCCGACCGGATATTAGTCGCGACATGTATCAGTACAATAGCTCTATCGCCATTTCTATCTTGAAATATTCCAAACGTTCGCGCGCAGTAAGCAGGTACTCTATCAAACTCTTGGCTTCTTATGCAATCATCTGTATGAGTTTGCATATTGGAAATGTATTATGCATTATAACCCACTAATTTATCTTAGATTAGTATTTTTTTGGCTAACTTGTTACGGTCTATGATGATGTTTTCTCGAATTTTAAAGTCCCTTTTCATTTCCAAGCGTCTATTCAAAATCCCAGGTCATTTTGTGTACTATTGCAGACGCTCTTTCTTCATCACGCATTGAGCAAAAGATTGAACTGGAATCTGGAGAACAATTTGGTATGAACTCATGGCATGTTACTCCTTTCAGAGAACCCTTTATTGTTTTGCCAATAATTTTTTGGTGACTCTAAGGACTTCTAACAAGTTGATTAGTTTCACAAAACCACGTAGGAGTTATTCTTCAAATGTGCTGTTTAAAAAGGTAACGTATATTACTAACATTGACAACCATGCTCGGTTTAATATGTCCATTTTGACATTTCCAACTTTCTAAATTGTTTAATTTTTCGCAATTCAGGGTTTTGGTAGAGTGTCTTGTAGTTTGAGTTCTGATTGGTGTAAAGTTGCACGGAGAGTTTCTTTGCTTAGTATAAGTACGTCTGCTGAAAGTGCAACACTAGCCCAAGATGCAATTTTTGATTCAGCTGACCATAGAGATGGACTATTGAACCCCAGATCTTCAAATGGTAGAGTTATGCTTATTGATGGAACATCAATCATTTATAGGGCGTACTACAAGCTTCTTGGTACGTCAAACCATCTTCTCTGAATTAATTCATGTAATGGTTAATGTATCCTCTTTTGAACAAATGTAGTTTCACTTGCTATTTATACTTCTTTTACATTATTATGAGTATGGATGTGATATGTGTTGTTTCACTTGTAGTTTCCATAATATATTATGGATCCTATCTTACAAAATCAAAAGTTGGAAGGATTGTATAAGTTAACACGTGATGATGTTGGATCCAGTATTTCAGTTTGGGGTCACGTTGGAGAATTTTTCTCAGGCCACCTTGCTAAGAACATTTTCATTCTCTAGTAGTCTTGGATTATGATGCTTATGAATGAAATAAGTTAAAGCAAAGAAGAGAGAGTGGAGAAGTGAAAAAGAAGAGGCACGAAGGAAGGAGAGATGAATTTGTGGACAAGGGAAAGGAGGAGCAAAATATCTGTAGTATATAGAGGGAAAAATCTTGAGCATTACCTCTTTTCCTATTCCTAATCAGTAGCTAATGATGAACTTTATTTATTGTATATATCACTATGGTACTCCGGTAAGCAATAGACCAGGGACAAGATATTAAATGAAATTCTTTAAGTCCCAACACACAATTCTAAGTTAGCCGTTGCATTATACTAATTATGAAGCTACTTTCCACCTTATTGGATGGGAAACTTGTTCTATTCTTAGTATGGCTTATAGATCATGCCATGGAGCTAAAAATAACATTAATACTCAATAATTTGATATGTTCACCACCT